CTGGCCCTGTTCCCCTTGGGACTCGCTGGGATGATGCTCTGTGCAGTTCCACAAGCTTAACATCCGCTGGCTAAGGGGTCTGCTCCTGAGTCTCACGCCCCAGCCTGTCACCTGCTGTGAGGCACAGGGGTGGAAAAGGGGACAGGAAATCCAAATAAGTGCAGTAAAGACAGAAGACAATTGGAAACTGAATTCCCTTAAGAGGAGACAGGCAGGTGTCTGATCTGCCATCCACAGGCTCGGGAGGAAGCCAGGCTGAGAGCTCTCTGCCCAGGCAGGGAGGGAACAGCCAGGGGCCAGCCACAGAGGAGCAAGAAGGGCTCAGTTCTGCCTCTACCGCGCAGCCAAACGCTCCCCGGGCAGGGTGGGGAGGGAGGCAGCTGCTGCTGAGTGCAGGCGGCGGGGAGGGGATATAGCGTCCGGGAGGGATGACTTGGGTCCTGCCATGAGGGCAGGGACTGGACTGGAGGCCCCGGCTGGTTCTAGCGCACGGTGATTCTCTGCTCTTCCCTTCATTGCCGCTGGGAACCCCGACCCGGTTTGGAGCTGGAGGACAGACGCCCTGGGGGCTGGGAGTGGGGGTGCTGGTGGGGCTGGGCTGGCAGGTGAGTAATTGACGTTGAAAGGCATGAGCATGTCATGGCCACTGGTTTCTGACCCTTGGGGGCTGACTGGTCACGTCAACAAGTGGGGCTAGAAAGCGATGGATTTTAAAGAAAACTGAATTCCAAAACTAGGAACATGACCACTCCAGGGGGATGGTTTCTCTCACTGTGCGTCTAAGCCGGGCCTGGGCAAAATATGACCTGTGGGCCGGACCCGGTCTACCCAGCCACTAAAGCTGGCCTGCAGCTAGACGCTGATCTTGCGGAAAATAAAGCCTTTTCTGAAAGATCCCTTATCCCTCTATGAAATAAGGGATCTTTCGGAAAAGGCTTTATTTTCCGCAAGATCAGTGTCTAGACTGGTGCTTTTCTCTGGCAAAGCTCCGTGCCGAAAAAAAGCAGCAGCCATTTTTATGCTAATGAAGTGGGGGAGATTTAAATCCCTTCTTCATTAGCAATTGCAATAGAAAAAGGGATGTAGTTGAGACGTAGCCCAACTGTCTCCTGGCCCTGTTCCCCTTGGGACTCGCTGGGATGATGCTCTGTGCAGTTCCACAAGCTTAACATCCGCTGGCTAAGGGGTCTGCTCCTGAGTCTCACGCCCCAGCCTGTCACCTGCTGTGAGGCACAGGGGTGGAAAAGGGGACAGGAAATCCAAATAAGTGCAGTAAAGACAGAAGACAATTGGAAACTGAATTCCCTTAAGAGGAGACAGGCAGGTGTCTGATCTGCCATCCACAGGCTCGGGAGGAAGCCAGGCTGAGAGAGCTCTGCACTGGGGATGTGTCCGTCCCCCCTCCTCCAAGGCTGGGGGCTGCCTGTGAGCTGGGCCCCCTGATTCCTGGCCAGCAGAGGCCATTTCAATTCCTGCAAAGGCCAGGGCCTGGTCCTGGGGGGCAAGCTAGCAAGCTGCAGCATCAGGCCTGCTGCCCCTCTGCCAGACCCACTCCAGTAACCTAGCACCTGCCCCCCTCCATGTCCCCCCAGCCGTCCCCCCTCCTCCAAGGCTGGGGGCTGCCTGTGAGCTGGGCCCCCTGATTCCTGGCCAGCAGAGGCCATTTCAATTCCTGCAAAGGCCAGGGCCTGGTCCTGGGGGGCAAGCTAGCAAGCTGCAGCATCAGGCCTGCTGCCCCTCTGCCAGACCCACTCCAGTAACCTAGCACCTGCCCCCCTCCATGTCCCCCCAGCCTGCTCCCTGGCCAGGCTGTCTGCCATCCCTGGCCTTCCCTCTGGCCAGCAC